GCTGGCTGGGGAATTCTGGGAGTTGAAGTCCACACATCTTAAAGTTCTCAAGGCTGAGAAACACTGCCATAAGGGGAGAGCTGACCCAGTGAGTGAGCAACCTGCCCTTTCAGCCCCATTTTGAGATCAGGGCCTTGACTCCTGCAATTCATTTCTGGGCAAAGGCGGTTTACTCCCTAGAGATTGCTAGCACAGCCTAACCATTGCTGCATTGATGTAGTAGCCCCCAAAGCGAGCTCTGTATCGCCACAAGGTTGGAGAGTGCTATAAATCAGGAGTACGGAACAGCCGTTTGCAGTCTGGTTGTTCGAGCTTCACTGAGCGGGGCAGAAAGAAGGGAAAGTTGAGCGCTGAGCCTGCAAAACAGAGAGGGCAGAGACTGGCTTCATGTTTAAAATTCCTCTCCCCGCTTTTCAGACAAGGTGGGGAGTACTACGTGGAGGCCAACCTGAGTCTCTGCAGGAGGAACTACAGACCTACAAAATCGAAACGGGTTCATGATGTTTCGCCTCTTTGGCCCAAAGCCACAAATGGTTCATTCAGCTGGCCAATTCCAGGTGAGCAATAGGCGCATTAGAAAGACTTTCACACCAAGCCCAAAGAAAAATGCATTACTGTTTACACAACAGGCTTATCTGGGTTGGTTAGAGACCTCTCTCCTTTTATATGCATCCATACAACTTGAGAAATTTGGATGCTGTGGTGTGTGTGTGTGCAGGGCGCAGCATTTCCTGCAAACCCAGGTGACTCCGTTAGTTTATAGTTAAATACATTGGATGAATCCAGAAAACGAGTTAATTCAATCATTGCATTAAAAGGGTCATGTGAACCCAGCAATTTGGTTGGGTCTTGATTGAGTTTAGAAGGTGAGAAAATTTTAATGTATGCCTCCCATGCGCTTTTCCCCTTTCTTTTGTGCAAAAGGGCCGTTGTACTGTTGAATAATCATGACTTGGGGGGTGGGGGGGGGCTTGTTTCGATCAGACCTCTGCCTACTTGAAACTATAATGGGCTTTTTTTTGGTTTTGGCTTAGCATATTTCACAGAGCCCCAGAATCAAAGAATCATGGAATTGTGGAGCTGGAAGGAACTCTAAAGATCACCTAGTTCAACCTTCTGCCATAGGCAGGAAGACCCCTTAAACCATCCTCAGGAGGTGGCTGCCCAGCCTCTTCTTTAAAACTTCCAAAGAGGGAGAACCCACAGTCTCCATGTGTGAACTCAGCCAGTTGTGTTTGATTGAAGAAACCATGGTTAATAGGTCATGGCTTAGCATAATACATATACTCATTCACTTGATTCATGCATTGACCTGCACCATCTTTTTACTGAGTCAACCACATGTCACTGGGTTCATAGGGTGCACTAAGCCATAAACAGGGGGTAACAACCAAAACAACTTCATTTATGGAAACAAACTATATGAACTAAAACTGAGCAAACTGCACGATGACTTACTGCAAACCCAGACAAGGTGTGGAGGGACAACCTCAACAGAATTGCAACCTACTGAGGATGACAGCTCAAGCTCAGATACTTTGGTCACCTAATGCGAAGAGAGGACTCTTTGGAAAAGACCCTGATGCTGGGAAAGATTGAAGGCCAAAAGAG